CCTCTGGAGTACTGCAATGTGCGCATGCCTGCACCAGGCGTTCCTCTCAACCTCGACACTGACTTCCTTGTGTGCTGTTCCTGCACGGACGACTGCCAGGTATACCTGTGGCTTGCGTATTAACGTGGTATTTGCAGTAAAAAAAATATTGCAATAGATGCATCAGATATTATTTTGATATTCGTCTCTGAAAATCGATTTTTTTAATGAATCGGCAACTTGAAATTCCTCCGATCTTATTTAATTGAGTTTTTCAACTTGATTGCTTGAACAACACATCGGATTGTAATAATTTATTTTTTCAATACAAAATGAACCTAGTGATTACTTGTAACTAGAGTGTGTATGATACTACTGAAAGCTTTTATCGTATCATGTGATCATCTGCTACGTGGTGTGTCAACTGATTATTTGTGCAAGGTTTCTTTATTTAAAACGATCACAGTTGTGCACAGTTCACTGCAATGATTCATTATTACCAAATCGCTTGGGTAACAGGATAAGTCTCGTTGCGAGTGCTGGCAGCTAACACAAATATTATTAACACAATATTATTAACACAAATAACAAATCGCTTGGGTAACAGGATAAGTCTCGTTGCGAGTGCTGGCAGTTAACGCTCGAGAGCAACAAGAGACTCCCGCCTAAACTTCAGCTCAACGACCCTGGCTACGTGCACAGGCGCCTCTACGAACAAGTCACTTCAGGCATATTCGAATGTAACTCCAGGTAAGTGAATAACGATATCAAGACTGTTATATAATCGTGACCACTTTTTCTTGTAGACTTCTAACAATGTTCTTAAACACTTGGTTTGTGCAAGCATCCTACGCCAAATCAGACTTGTGACCCCAATCATACGTTTTAATTGAAATATCAATTTCCCTGATACTGGCGAGTGAAGTGTTATAATATTATGTGTATTAGCGAACAGTGATCTACAATTTTTTTATCGCTCGGATTCATGCTCCTTGCGAGTTTTTACATTTCTCAAGTACACTTTTGTTACAGGTTCTCTGGCAATTACACATTGCCAGAGTGTTCAGAGTGTTTAGATCGTGTTCGAATACACATTACATTGTTACAGGTTCTCTGGCAATCGTAAAGTTCTGGAAAATCGCCAACTGCTCAGTGCTCACGACTGTAATCTGTTGTTATGGTTTTATTCAAAAAATTTTCATTTGTTTTTCCTACAGATGCGCGTGCAAGCATACATGCCAGAATCGTGTGGTGCAGAACCCGCTGCGTATCAAACTTCAGCTCTTCAAAACAGCTCGCAGGGGCTGGGGCGTGCGTACGTTACATGACGTGCCACGTGGAAGCTTCATTTGTGTCTACGTCGGCCGCATGCTCACGGATAA